GGTGTGAGTGTTGTGAATGGTTGATCTTGATCTTTCCGAAGGGGAACGGAGTGGGTTAATTAGTGATAAGCCTTGTGAGTTTGTAGTTTGTACTGAATAAAATCCTTTAAATCGTGCACTAGTTGGTCATCAATCATTGCGCTTGAGGTGTCGTTAAGAGCGCTGGAAAGTGGTGAAATAATTGGGGAGGCGTCGGTGTTTGAGAAATCTAAATTTGTCGAAAGGGTGGTTACGGGAACTATAGGGTCGAAAATTGGTTGTGAAAAGTTAGTGAGTGGGCTCAGCTCGAAGTCCAAGAAATCTTCAGGAATGTCTACTGCGGGCTTGTCTAAAATTTTTTGTATCTTAAAAATAGTTTGAATTGGGTCTTCACAGTGCATGTGAGATGAGATGAATGATAATATGGAAAAGTCGGAATTGAATACCGGTTGGGGAGTTGAGACTAGGTCAAGGATGGAGATGGCAGAGTTCTGGTGTTGAAGGATAGAAGGGTAAGAAAGTAATTGGTGGAGGGACGCGACTAGGTGGCTCATTGTGGGCTAAAACCCTTGTCGTTTTGAGAACGAAAGATAACTGTGTGAGGTTGTTCAACTTTTTATTCATATGTTTAGTCTGAATTGTGTAGTTGTTAAGCAATATGAGAAATTGGGCTTCGTTGCACTTCATTTTTTTCATTGAGACGTGATCCTAATGAGAAAGTTATTCTTTAGTTTGTGTGAGGAATTGTTTGTAATTGGTTTTGGTTATTTTAACTGTGTATTTAACGGTCCTGTAGGTGTTATATGTGTATTATTTTCTGGGTTGTCATATGTATTTGCCAATTTTTTTGTAGTATTCCTAAGCATGTGCGTCTAGTAGTGTTTTGTTCATTGAAAAAAAAACATCCAAAAAATCAAGCGAGTCAAAATCGGGCTGCGCTTGCTTGTCTGATGACTAGCTTGAGAAATGCACATGTGTCTTAAATTCTTTAAAGAAGTGGAATTTAAATTTCTATAACGTAAACGTTGCATGAAAATATTTTAGTCTCTTTAAAGTTTATTAGATGTATAAGTCCAACCTAAAAACACTAATTTTTCACTTTTTATGAAAAGAAAAATAAGAATTTTAATAGAGTATGTATCTTGAGGGCGATATTTTTCTCCTTTGAGATAAAAATATTCTTTGATTTTTTTAACGATATTTGTAATCTAGTGTTTAGATATCTCAGAAACTGGCTGTTTCAGCAAGTTTCGTTTCCCTAAGTTTTGATACGTCGAATGTCGCTGTTCATTATCACCTTCAGTGAGTATTTCTTCAGTTTTTCTGTTGTGATGTTGTAAACCGGCTTTTGGGTAAACTCCCATTGACTGTAAATCAATATTGGGGTTTCTGACTATTGCGCGCATGCTTTTTGAAAATTTCCCTAGCGATGGCATCATTATCAGTGTGGGCTATGGTGTGAAGAGATTTTTTTATTTTCGTTCGGGATATAATTGCATTACGTTGTTGCTGCATTCTGATTCATTTGGGACGACGGTAACTCATAAACATATGCGTGTTGAGAGTGCATCTACAAAATGAATTTTTTTGTAAAAAATTTGTGTTTGTTGATAGCAGCGTTTGTCTGCGAAGATTCTTCAAGAGTATTTTTTTGGTGCATTTATAGTACCAAAGGATGTTGACTTCATAATCAATGAAATTCGAGCGATTTGTTGAAACTAGATATCCTGCGTAAAGGCTTTTTAATACTGCGAGTTCTAAAGATTGAAAAGCTTGTGTGCGTTCTAATTCACATAGTTGATGTAGCGTTACTAGTTCTCAGAGTGGCTTTTCCTGGAAAATTCTGCTATGTGTGTAATCACTTTTCGTATCTGACTGTATGTGATATTGAATTGCTTCAAAATATGTGTGATTTCCTAATGATAGTCCTGAAGACGTCTACTATCACGACTTTTTGGAAGGAGTTTTCCATTTATTTGTCCATTGCTATCCATGGAGTAAGACTGGTATGTAAGGTTTTTCATTAGCACGGTTTTGATTTGTGTCAGCTTTATTAATGATGATTATTCCCCTTTTTTATCATATCCATTTTTTCATTCAACTAGAATTTCTAATTATTGGGTTTAAAATAGTGGTTTCCAATATTGTTATTTGAATTCTGTTTCTCGGTATAATTGCAAGCGTGTTAATCTTTTTCAATACTTGATAGGTTTCTGCAGGGAGTTTCAGTTGATTTTGCTCTGTTGGATTTACTTGATCAAACGTTATAGATTGTATGTAATATCTTTGTGAAATTTGATCATCCGTGCTTTTGTTTTAGCGACTTTGAGTTACTTCAGGAAACTAAACCATGGTTGCTTGTGTACGAGTTTGGTGTTCAAAAAGCCCTCGATCAACCTTAAAAGGTAAGCGGTTGCCTTGATCTATCTTAGCGTCCTCTTTCAAATCTCGTGTAAGTTGTACTAGTTCTATTTGCATATTCCAATCACAAAACTTTTTTTTGATGTCCTGTGTTCTTCGTGCTGGTTTTGCAATTGGATGGGTCGTTGATGTCAATGTGAGAAACTCAATTTTTATAGTGAAAGTCATAACTTATCGTGCGCCATGATGAGTTCTTGTGGTCCTGTTCGTAGTGATAAGTGGTCGTGAAATATTGGTTCTAGGAAGATACAGACACAAAATTGTGCTCCTATCCAATGCAGAGTTTGGTTGTTATGGTCTTGTATATCCTCGTAAATGTCGTGTCAAAATTGTAATCGATGTAGTGACTTTTTGAAATGGTTGTTATTATTTCTTACACATCAAAAAAAGTGAAAATTTTTTAGAAATGTTGAAAAAAAGAAAAGTGTTAGCAACTGGTTTGAAAGTTATCATTCAGAACAGAACTCTTCTCCCATTTGAGATCGGACTTTTTTTCAAATTTTGTCGAAAGGAATGAATTGGGCAGATTTTGGAGAAGGATAGTCAGGAGGTTTTGAAACTAAGTTGCTATTTATTGTATTTGTTTATTGACTAAATATGGTTTTTTTTGAGGTATTCTAGTTTTAGTTTAAGTGATTTTATCAGTTTTCCAGTTTAGGCTAATTTTACTATTTTACAGGTTATTAATTTGTAAGTCGGCCTCCTCATGAGTGAGTTTTTTGTATCACATCATATCCTTTCGTGTTCAACTAGAATTTTCAAAAATTGAGTTTTAAATAACCGTTTCCAATGTTTGCATGTGAATTTTGTTTCTGGGGACGATTTGAAGCGTGTTAAATTATTATCAATACCTGGTGCGTTTTGGGCCTTTTAGATGGTTTTTTTTATGTGTGTATTTATATAATAAAAATGAATAGATTCAATACGAGGCCAAACTGTGCATTCTCGGCATTGTAAGCGGAATCCGCATCAGGCCAAAATCAGATTTGTTGCGGAATCCGCAACATTGCGACTCTTCTTTGATCTTCTATGCTGTTTTGGATTCCACAAACAAAACCTAAATCCTTGCACCGCTCAAAATTGCTTGAAGAATAGGCGAATTTGCGGAATCGGCAACCGTATTTGCGGAATCCAGAAGAGTTTGTGGAATCCACAATCAAATTATAAAACATTTGTTTCGTTAAATTGAGCTGTTGCAGAATCCGCAATTGTAAGTGGAATCTGCAAATTATAAGTGGAATCCGCAAATTGTAAGCGGAATCTGCATTTTGTTTGCGGGTTCCCTTTACATATACTTATATGTATAGTTGCCTTTAAAATTATATCTTTTAAATATATGATTTAGTTTCACGAGAATAGAAATTTACTACAATAGAAGTTTACTAGAAAAGATCAGTGTTTGAGATTGAAGGAATCCCAATTACTGACCAGTATTTGGGATCAATGAAATCCCAAATACTGAACTATTTCGACGATTTGCTATGCGTTGGGTTTCTAATCACCCTCAACCCAATGACTCCAAACAATGGATATATTCCATATTTATTCCACATTTTTCCAGTTTTTGTGATTTCATCAACCCCAAAAACTGAACTAATTCGACGATTTGCTATGCTTTGGGTTTCTAATCACTCTCAACCTAATGAATCCAAATAATGGATATATTCCATATTTATTCCACATTATTCCAGTTTTTGGGATTTCATCAATCCCAAATACTGACCAGTGTTTGGGATCGATAGAATCACAAATACTGACCTAATTTGGCGATATGCTGTGTGTTGTGTTTCCATACCTTCTCAACCC